GCTGAATCTTGGGCACTTTGGTCCTGGGTTTCTTGCCTTCTTTGTTCAGTGGCTTTCTCACAACATACTGATGGGCATCATCTTCTTTAGAGAGATTGAAATTTTTGTGGATTCTGCTAGCTCTCTTGGGCCCCAGGTGACGAGGCACAATTGTATCTGTCAGTCCTGGGATATCTTTCTCTCGCTTTTTTTACTATGACCAAGTTGACAACGTTCAAGTTGGCATCCACAGTGTAACCCCAGACAGATTTTCGCTTTCTTTCTCCAGTTCTCCTTGGTCTATAACAGGAATGCCCCTTACTCAGAAGCAGGCGGACACGGCCATGCGTCAAGATGCCCTGCTTCATGGGAAAACCCTGCTTGTTGTTCCCACAACTGATGCAGACAACATAACCCTTCCACTCGTCACCCAGTGAGTCAGCAGAAACTTCTGTGGCCATTCGTTTCTCATAAAAGGTACGAAGCTTGCGTTCATCATCCACTTCAATGAGTTTTTGGCAGCTAGTGGCCGGGAAGGAGATGTTCAGCTTCATGGTGAAGCAGCCGATGGCCTCCTTGGCGTCACAAAAAAGAGGTAGAACTATATAATTTTAAGAGATGAAAATCCAATTCAAAAAAATTTTTTTAATTAAAAAAGATAATACAATGATACATGTAACTAAAACAAACGAAAACCAGTGAATCTGACTCTAGACATATCTGAATCCAAGAGTTAAAACAATAGCATCAGACAAATCTTCTTCCTCACAGCTCTGATTTACCTCTCAGTTAGACGTTCCCCATATACTAGTAAAGACTGGCTCCAGGTTCACATTCTATCAGTTTGACAACAGTAGCAAAAATAATGCCTCTTTTATATGAGGCAACACGCTTGGTATTGAATTTGATTAGCCTGGGTTTGCTCCTATGCTACTCTGCATACATCACAATGGAAATTTCTTCTTTAGTTGGTTAGACCTTTGTTTCATTATTGCTGTTGTTAAGTGCCTTTGAGTCAGTTTTGACTCAAAGTGACTCCATGTAGGGTTTGCAAGGAACAGCTGGTAACATTATTCCCACAGAAAGGCAACACCATTGTTAGGACTGTTTGCACTAGGGAGTTTGCACAGCCTATGATCCAGGACCATGCAGCCATGTGTGCACATAATATCTTGTTCATGATGATCATGTATCTCAGTGGGTTGCATATGGCCACGTACCTGTCATAGGCCATCATAGCAAGGAGGACACATTCAGTGGAGCCCAAACTAAGTGAGAAAACCATCTGCAGTGCACAGCCAAGGAAAGAAATGGATTTTCTCTGAGATCTAAATGAGATGAGCATTGAAGGAATGGACGATGAGGTGTAACAGATGTCCAGGAATGAGAGGTTCCCAAGGAAGAAGTACATGGGGGTGTGGAGTCGGGAATCTAGGATGCTGATGACAATGAGGAAGCTGTTTCCCAGGAGGATTATCAGGTATATGATGAGACAGAATACCCACAGAGAAAGCCTGAGCTCTGAGGATTGGGAAAGTCCCATCAGAAAGAATTCATCACAGTAGTGTGACTCCTTCTGGCCATGTGACTAAATCACTTGCAGGGTTAGAAAAAGACATGAATCAGGGAAGCTTGAAATTGTGATGCATTTTAAAACATGATTATATAAGGATCTCTTTATTGATAAATATTTTGAAGTTAGAACTGTATTTTGGTAACCCAAGCCTACTGCCATTTCCAACTCATAGCTGTCCCCAACTCCAATTTCATATAATTTTATAAGTACTTATTGATGTATATCTTTTTCTTTCAACTTTGACATATGTGACTTTGGAATGTATTCCCACGTCTTTTATATCATTTTTATTTCTGGTCATGAGGCTTCAGTGCTATTGAACAGATAATGGCTACCTATTCATTGAGCACTTAATTTGTTATGAGCACATACAGCATCAGAAATCACATGCAGGGTTGCTATGAGTTGCAACTGACTCCACAGCATATCACCAGCACCACCAAGCACATGACATATTCATTCATTCAGTTTCATATAATATCATTATTACTACCATTTTACCTAGACAGAGAAAAGTCACTGTATATTACCTAAGGTCACACAGATTTACTAAAACCAGAACTTAGTATCTAGCTGTCTGGTTCCAGGCTCAGACAGCTAATTCAAATCCAGCCCTCTTACCTTAGTGACTGAATGGCCTGAGTGATTCCATTCTACCTCTCATAGGTTTCTACACTTTTTCCTTTCTCTCCCTTACATGAAATCCTGGTGTGGCGCTGTGAGATAAAGCACTGACCACAAGGTCAGTTTGCTTCACAAGATCAGCAGTTCAAATTCACCATCTGTTCCTTGGAAACCCTATACAGGGTCGCTATGAGTCAGAACTGACTTGATGGCACTTAACAACAACAGCAACAACTTAGTGGCCGAATGACTTTAGTGATTCCATTCTACGTCTTGTAGATTTCTACACTTTTTCTTCCTCTCCCTTATATGAAAGCTATCATCTATGACCAGCTAATGTGTAAGATCCTCATCCTGTCTGCAAGCTCCCTTGATACAAAAAGTCCAAAGGAAATGTGTGGTTCTAGAGTGAGATAAGATTATCAACAAATATTCTCATTCTATAACCACAATTCAGTGAATATAAACAACCACACTGAATGTCTAACAAGTAAAACAGTTCTTTATATAATGACTGTATACACTTGTTTTGGTATTTAACAGAATAAATATGAAACAATTGGAGCACTTGCATTTTTAGTGATGTAGAGCTAACTTTATAAATAGGCAGAGTTTAGCAATTAAAAATAGGAAACAAAATGGAAAAGGCAGGAACAAATAAATAAAAATTATTACCCCAAACTGTGAAGCATGGATATCCATTATATTTATGAATATGTATGCAAAGATTACAAAGCATATCCAAACTATATAATAAAGTGATATAACTTATTACATGAATAAATGGAAATCCAAATTAACACTTGAAAATCTACCCATCTCATGCATGAAACAAGTATGTATCAAAAATAATCTACATTGTCATCTACCTAGACGCCAAAAAACATTTGATAGACTACAACATCCATTCTTTTAAAACATTGTTTATAATCTAGTCAGAGGAAAACCATCAGTAAGGTGAAAAAGAATATCTTTGTCAAACTACTGGTGAACATAATCCCAAATGGTTAGACAATATAGGTTTCTATCCCAACATTAAAAGATAGCATTAATATTAAATATTTCCTTCAAAGTTCCAATTATAGAGTAGAATAAGAAAGATAAAGGACATTGTATATACTATCATGCTTCAAATTCAATCATACTTTAACAATTTCTATAATTTTTTTTCTTCTATTATTGTTATTGTTGTTGTTAGGTGCCATAGAGTCGGCACCGACTCATAGCGACCTTATGCACAGCAGAATGAAACAAGGTCCAATCCTGGGCCAACGTCACTACTGGTGCCACACTTGAGTCCATCGATGCTGCCACCTGGCCAATCCATCTTGTTGGGGGTCTTCCTCTTTTTCTCTGACCCTCCATCTTACTAAACATGATGTCCTTCTCCAGCGACTGTTCCCTCCTGACAATATGCCCAAAGTATGAGAGACAAAGTTTGGCCATCTTGGCCTCTAAGTAACACTCTGGCTGCACTTCATCCAAAACAGATCTATTGGTTCTCTTGACATTCTCCTTCAATATTCTCCTCCAACACCATAACTCAAGAGCATCAATTTTTCTATGGTCTTCCTTATTCACTGTCCAGCTTTCGCATGCATATGAGGTTATTGAAAACACCATGGCTTGGGTCAGGCGCACCTTAGTCCTCAAACTGACATCTTTGCTCTTTAACACTTTAAAAAGTTCTTGTGCAGCAGATTGCCTAATGCAATATGTCGTCTGATTTCTTGACTGCTGCTTCTGTGAGTTTTGATA